CTCAGGAACAAGTGTATTGGAAGTTTGTGATGGCACCAAGTGAGCAAATGACACCAAAAGGATGCGTTTACAAAGTTGAGGTTTCTTAGCAGAAATTACGTGTAGGCTAATGTTTACAGCTTTATCCAAATATAAAAATGACCATGTTGGGACTGGAATTGCAGCAGGTTAACAGAAAGCAAAGGTCAACTCGATCAAAGAATAAGAAGAGTTCATGAGATTACTGACTTTATTTGATTTGTGTAAAGAAGTACAAACTATGCTACTGAGGTACTCAGAACGTTAGGAATCAGTAAATGGAGACACTTGACGATGTAGTACAAAATCAATCGCATTCCTTCGATTTCTGCTGCTTCTACCTGACGATTTTTCCTATCTATCGCAATATCTTTCTACTTCTGTTGATTTTCTCTTTATGTAGTAATAGCAAGTAACAACCCTAACCAAAGTTATTTAGTACGAATGTCAGTCTACTTCTGCCTTGATCAAACAAGCAAGTTGTTAACGAATCCTCTTTGTAAATTACTTGATATTTACCTTCCAAACCATTGAGAATGTTGGAGCTCGCCACAGCTAGCAACACTCGACTTCATATATTCATCAATTCTAAAATCGTTGTTACACGCGTCAAATAAACAACTTTTGAATGCTAGATAAGTTTCAGCACGTAAATCAAAAAACGATTCACTTGGTTAACTATTGAAAACTGTACATGTTAAACGTTTGATCTTTTAGAAAGCCGAAGAAGGATGACATATCAAGCATACAACTTCTTATAGAGAGTGGCGTAGAAAAGAAGGGAAGCTGGTAAGAATACAGCGACAAAGGACAAGTCAACGATACACTGATAAGAAAACTATCAGAAACAGTTCAAATGTCTTTTAGTTACTCTTTAGTAAGGCAAATGCAGTCTGAATACGACAATGACATAGGTTTTTCATTCCCGTTGATCGTAATCGTCTTGTGATAAGTACACTGCAGAATTAACTTGTACATAATCATTTCATTAGCAACCAACAACAAAGCCTGAAAATGTCAAAGTACAGAAAATCAGGCAGATTTCGGATATGATCGTATGTATTTGCACTGAATATTCATTCTTTACTAAATCCTACGAAAAGGGAGAACAAGCGGCTTTTGTTGGCGCTTGCAAATGGGATTTAATCCCATCGATAGAAAGAATTTGTGTAGGTATCTAACTATGGAAGGAGTACCAAAAATGTACATTATACTGATAAATATGGTACACTGTAAGACCTTCAGATGTCCTACCCAAGGTAAGAATAATCAATGCTCCCTACCAGAGATGTTCATCATCACCCTTCTCAGTTAACCTCGGTATCCAGCTACTAATGAATGTTAATTAAATCCCTTCCGGTTTTTCATACATTGATTCTATATTCTGACAGCACCTGATCCATTTTGAGCATGCAGATAAACAGACCATGTTTGGAAAACGAGCTAATCAAATACAGTCTTCTGAACACATTGAGTATACACCCCAGTTAGTCGCAAGTTTTTCATGCGTCAGATGTCAGATGATGCTACACGACATATCTGTACTAACTTGTATTTTAGAGAAAAAAGAATTGAGAAGGGTTGAGTATGCTAACCACCTCAGAATTTGAGATTTCACATCTTTCTTCATGACCTGGATGCTGACGAAGACTTTTTCGTGAGAGAAAAAAGACGCCTGTTTGACATTGTTTAGCGTAGAAGGTAGATGACATGCGGAAATCATAATTCTTCCATTCTCGGGTACGCTTGATGGAGTATGGTGGAGCTATACAGTAAGTGAACAACTGATGTGAAAAATATTCATCTTTTATCAAATCAACACACTTTCGGCATAACCTACAAAGCCTACACTTGCTAAACTATGCAATAGATATGTGAACTTTTGTCTAATGATAAGAGATAACTTTGCACCAAGACACTATCATTGATTAGTGAATGTATATAACAATGCATGACAGATTAATGATCAGTGAACATATTTCCACTGATAACGTCACTTTATAAGGTGCATTTAGACATAATGCGATAGATATCTTGTTAATGAAACTACATACTGTCTATTATATACTTTAAAATAGCACATATATACCAGAACACACCTAGGATTCTGAAAAACATAACTGTCTTGCTGAAATTGATAAAAGTAACTGATTATTTCAAATTACTAAATACCCTGTGACATTGAAATGATGCTGTGATGTATACTGCCTACTTATTTCGATTTAAGTAACATGAACATTTAGAAGAAATAGGTTTAGAAACAATGAGTAGGTTAGCCTAGCAAAAAACTTGATATATATGCCTACAAAGTAGGAGAGGTGAAACAACAATTATTCGATGAGAATAAACTTGGAAGTGGATCTTGATATCATCTCACAAATACTAATCCAAGAATACCGTCATCAAATGCACAATCCGTAGGCCTTAGTAAAGCCAAATATAAATTAGGTCGGACAGCCCTGCGAAGTACTTTATTAAGATTCATGTTACCAACCAGTTGTCTAGGCCTAGGTGGGTGGAGTGGAATCCGAACTCTGAACACTGCTTGGGAGTCGAGTATATAAGTCAATTACCCTATTTCCATTGAATAATACAATTTAGTAACCAAGTTAGATTTTATACAGCAACCAGTGAGTCACACCTACTGTAGACGGTTGTGATACATTCTGGCTACGCAAACCTCAGCAGGCTAAATGAGGTGCGAAACGGCGATCCATTTGTTGAGAATCTTCTTGGAACACCATCGCTTAGGACACAAATCTTTACGCAGTTATTGAGTCATATCTCTGTTGAGCTGCAGTTTACTGGCCTAAGTAGTTAACTTTCAATCAGCTGACAAACAGTTTTAACTCCAGCCTACTTATCTAGGATAAGGCAGCTAGTTAGTATTACAGCCTTGATGCAATAAGTGTAGTTAAAGCAAAAAATATGTAGTGAGAGTACGATAAGGCAATCATAAAACGACCAGATGACGAAGTAATTCAAGTTATGTACCGATATTAAGTGATAATCACAACTAACAGTACAGCTGGAAATCGATAACACTTGACTAGATGCATACATACTTTGTTTCTGAACGCCATTTATTTTCCTCAGGTGAAATAAGTCAGCTGATTCAATCAGCCTGTTAGAATGAACCCTTGAAATTCATGTACTAAATCGTATGGACATAATGTTATGAAATAATGAGCTGTCTTTTTAGAAAATTCAATATTGATAAGATCGTATAGCTTTTCAAGATAAAGATTGTTGAAAAGAATTTCCCTTGCTGAACGATTTTTTCTAATCTACGATATAATGGATAATATTCAGAGCAATTATGATTTCACTTATCAACCTAATTGTTTTTACACGTATATATTCTCATGTAAGGGTTTATTTGTGATTTAAATTTCCTTCAAAGATATTGAAGCTAATAATATGACCTACTTAAAAGATAATCGTGATATGAAATAGAAAAGATAACAGTCAGAAACCAGATGTTAACTAGTATCATACATTTAGTCTATAGTGTTGATCCGAGACTACCAATCATAGTAATTAACGAGAACAATAATCATTTGGCCGTTATTCAGCCATGATGTCCCAAAATCAGTAACAGAAAGGTGGAACTATCTGTAGGAACTTGAGCTATGTGTTTTGTGACGAAAGACACTTTGACCACTATTTAGACCATACGAGTAGACAAATAGATATAAAAATATGAAAAACTTGCGTACAAGTACATGAGTTCAAGTTGCTATATTATACAGTATCATGCAAGGAATATGTGAATGAAGCAGGTTAGCAAAAAAAGCTCATGGTTTTGAAGACGAATGTATACATCTAAGATATTGTGAAGGACTTTGAGTCACTACAAAATGTTCCCAACCACTGGTTTGTCTTCTTGAGGATATCAGCCATATGGATAGTCGCAAACTTCATGGACAGATATCATATCTTGGTCTGATGACCCCTAACCTAGTAACCTAACATTCCATCTAACATAGCACATTGAAGGGGGCAATGGTTCGGCATGCCTATCAGCTCATGGTCCAAGCCACCTCATCGTCTATAACCCAAAGCCTAACTGGAGCTTGAGAACAGAAAACTCCAGAAAACCGTGCATGTTTCAAATCTGAACAAAGAAACATTGGTTATACTTTCACGCTTCGATAGGTTTTAGAACACAGGCATACTAACCGGCATTTATTGATCTGAAGGTGTTTTTGTTTTTTCTCTCACACAGCTTTGTCCACTTTGGTATCACTCCTGTTTAGTCCACCTGTTCTTTGTATACTACTGCGAAGTGAGGCGACTTAAGCCGACCTACCTGTGTGGGAGGTTCTATGTTGATTCTGGCTGCCTGTCTGTCATCTGCTACAGCTTTATATTCTCATTATCTAGACCTAGCTGACTCTTCAAAAACCATCAAGTTAAACAATAATCCAACATTAATTAATGACTGCTTTCAAAGCAGATTTCCTGAAGTGTCAGTCGCAAACTGCAGTCTACAAGGCTAAGTCAACTTGTCAATGAGAATAAACATTCTTCCGTGACACTAGATATATGTCGAATGATTTCACGTCAAAAGTTTTAAACCCAGCTCTCTCACACGTGTACCGAGATGAATTGAATTTAATTAATTACGTCATCCTGCGCACCACCAAAATCGTTAACTTTACCAGAGTTCCAAGTTAGAAAAGCATATCCTTTTAGCACCTCTTAAAATTCAACCGGGTTTTGAGGAAGAAAGGTCACTTTAAAACATTCAATTTACACAAACTACTGAAATTACTTCTATGGGTAGAAACAAACTTGGGTTGTGGTTCGATTCAAACTGGGAAGCTGTTGTTTCAAATTCAGTTGCAACTAAGCTATTTACAAAATATTTCAGCACCAATTTCACGTGAAGAAAGGCAAATGACGGACACAAGGAAACATTAGAAAACTAAAAGTAGCAGGAATATGGAACATCTAGATGTAACGAAATATAAACTCACTCCCTAAGAAGACGACGTTTCAGCTGAAATTCGTTTGATCTTTGCGATGATAGTACTTTATTTAACACCTCAACAGATCGACCACCTTTCAATGGTTTTACATTCTCCTTGGACAACTCCCATTCAAAGTCATCTACCCCTGACCTGTAACAAAAGTAAAATTTAGAACGGTGTGTGCGAATAAGGCACAAAATCCTCTCTAAAATTATATGTATCAATACAATACAACGTTACTTATTGATTGATTTACTCAATGGAAATCATATAGCTGACTTGGAGTATGCAGACGGTATTGTACTGAGAAGTAAAGAGGCTGACTAAATGTAGGCGCTTATTAACGCGTTGAAGAGAAATCTGAGTGCATCTGGCTGGCCTGTGTTTCGCACCTGTCTAGTGCATGATGATGCTCCAGCCATGACTGGTTTACTGCAAGTACTCCCAGTTTAGTGGTAGAGAATGAAGTCGTAGAATGTGTCGACCACTTCACTTACTTGGACAGTTGCATCAGACTGTCGAACGGGGTGGTTGCTGATGAAATCTCAGCTCGGATACAGAAAGCCTGTTTGGCATTTGCATTCATGAAACAGCATCCATGTTCTCCAAACTACACATTGAACCTTTCAATATCTGCAAACTCCATTATATCGGAAAAGCTTAGCTAGCCAAAACTGTAGCATAACATCTCAGGTCATAGATGTGTACTTTGTTTGTGAGACATCCATACAGGACCTAAGAGTGGTTATTTACCTAGCCTCAACCGGCCAGTACGGCAAGTCAGAAAAATTCAATCTTCAAGTTTTTGGAGATTTAATGGCTGGTTTTTGCGGTCTTGCATATGTAGACATAGCACTAAGTCCCAAGGCAGAAAGTGAACTGCTCAACAGGACCTCAGCTGACAGTCGATTGTGCGCAGTCACACTAAACGGTCCAGCACGCGAGTCATCCACTCTGGTGGGTTCAGACACTGGGGTTTGCATGGGTGAGATAGTGGGCACCATACCAGATACCAACTTTAGAAGGTTATCCTTATGGTCATGTGTAAAATAAGTGCACATTCAGGAATACCAGTTTCCAATCTTTTCAAAAGTAATTAACCGTTCTTAGTTTATCACCTACCCACGTTTTTCAACCCTCATAGGGATGGGAAGGACGGAAAACAAGTGACAGAAGATAGAACTGCAACCAATAATTAAAGATTGGTTCAAATCAGCCATGACAAACTGAAGCTGTGAGAAAAGGCCGGAGTGAGGAAAATTAGTAGGCTGAATGCATCCCATCATGTGGATCTACGGGGTTACCGCCAATGAAGATGCTGAAAGTGCCGGTTCTATAGCCCAGAATGCGGACATAGAGTTACCCAGTTCTCGGAGTGTCAGAGAGATGAAGCAGGCCACTCACCAGTCCAAAATTTCGATTCATTGCAGACAGCAGTTTCGTGTTTTTAAATTTATACGTACGTTTACTATTCTTTATAAGCTTTCGAAACGTGAACTGCTTTTAAAGTCCCGTTTCTGCAAATAGACACAGGGAGACCAAGATATTACGGTTCATCCATCCATCCAGATCAACATAGGACCAGGCATTACTACATGACGATTTGAGTTGCCACAGCTCATATCAGTAAATCAAGTAAAAGGCAGTGAAGTTGAAGAAAAAACTCAAAGGTATTATGGCATGCAACTAGTGTGTAAAATCCAAACTATTTAGATTTTCAAGGTTTAGTGAGTGAAGACACTTTCTTTGAGCTTACTCATAAGTAGGTTAAACCATACATACAAATCTCAATCCGTAATTCATACACTTTTCACACACAACACACTACATACGGATATCATCTTTATTCTAGAATTCTGAAGAAGTAAAATCTTTCATGTAAGACACTTGTCAAGTTATTATATATAAGCTTGGTTATTGTAAATCCCGGTTTACTATAACTTTGATAAAGCTATTAGCACTAAATAGAGATACGTCAGTTGAAACAAATTTATTTTGTTTTACATTCATTGGGAAATATAATTACCAAAATAGTGATTTGAAAACCACGATACACTTTCAAGTGGAGGCGGCTCAAAGTTTTAGGACACTTTGGGCACTGTGTGGAACGTTCAGGAACATAAGTGATGACATGCTCACCATCTTCTACACATCCTTAGGTCTAAATTATAAAACTGTACACAAGCAGCAAATCTTTGTCTGAAAGGTGACATAGACCTTCTAGAGTGAGTTCACAGGGCAGCCACCTATATGACCTCTGCAACGGCTGGCCTCACCTATGAAGGCCTACTTAAAGAGATGAACCTCTTTACTTCATCCAATCACAGACAGAAGGGAGATCTAATCATGGTATATAGGATTCTAAGAAATGACTCCGCACCTTATCTGTCTTCTCGTTTCCTTCCCACTAGGTCGGAACACCTAAGAGGACATAGTAGAACGCTAAAAAAACAAAGAACGAAGATAGTCCCCTCAGAGTACTGGCTGCCGCATCAAGTAATCAACTGGAACCGACTCCCAAAAGAAGTGGTGTCCGCATCATCAATTAACTCGTTCGAAACGGGATTGGACAAGCACAAAAATCTATTGGAAAGGGATTAATATAGGCCCACAACCTCCTACCCTCAAACAATAAATCTGAATCCGGAATCTTAAACTGTGCAGTTTAATCTGCAAGTGAACTGGACTTTTCCAGACCTGGAGGAAACGCACGGTTTTCCCCCACTAAACTGTTGCACACTCCTGGGAGTTTCTTAATATACATATGAGATTTTATTCCGGAACTTCCAAAAACTGCTGACAGGATTGCTGAAGGGAACGTTCTAAGGTATTAACTTTAGTGTCTCGAAAACCAATGCATGTAGCCACACATCACTAATACCTAATAGCTCAAGTACGAGAAATGACTCAGTCCACACAGTGCGCTATTTGGAGTGAACGCAAGGTGATATAACACTTACAGATGGGGGCTAAAAGTTATCCCCAGGTGATAACGTAATGTTTATGGGGTATAACGTTCTGTGCACGAATTCGCGTATTTTCTGCATATTTTACTAGTTTGCAAAGATTCTAAGATACTCTGCATCATTGAATTGCGTTTCATGTCATTTATCTTTGTGTAGAGTAATGGTTATGCTTCCTTCTCCTAGTTGGGATATGAGATGTGAGCACATTTATTTATGAAGGGTGATGTTCACAAATTAAAGTAAGTTAATTGGGCCTTCAAATTGCAGCAAAAATGATTTGTGATTGCAGTATTTACTTCATATTTTAAGCTTACAAAATAAAGGAAATATGCATTTTCACACAGATCATAATAGCACTTAAGGATAACTCTTAGTCTCACCCAACACTTACATTACCACAAGATCAAACAAAGCGCGCTGATACGCTGAATTCCAATTAACGCGCTGATTACCGATACCTGTGACCTTTCATTGTAAATGAATAATTTAGAAATCCAGAAGTGTCAAAAGTTCCAAATCAGTGTTGTTATATTTGTGGTCAAAAAGTTTGAGAAGAATTAAGACAGTCAATTAATATGCCTCGTTCAAGCTTCATTGTGCGAAATTAAAAACAATGTCTCTTTTATTTTGATATATGTTTCAGTGATAAATTACCTTCGTTGTACCTTTCTCATTTCTTGCCGCAATTCCGGGAAATCTGGAAGGAAGCAGAAAGTGAGTTGTCATTGTTCAACTCTCTTCCCATATGACAGTTTACAGGGCTGCAGCGTCACACACTTCTTCAGAATCAACAGCCTAGGGTTTGACGAGATTCAACATTGATGCTAACCTTGGTAGTTTAACTGAACTCCCTAAGCCGAAGGTACTCGGTCAAGCATCCTCGCCATTTGGCATGCTGTCGTGTTACGTTGCACAGCTCGTAATCGATTCTAGCCAGCTAGTTGGAACGCATCGGTATCTTGGCACGACCTCGCAAATGTACCATTCCATCCGACTACGCTAGTGTGTTCTTTCCTGGTCTCATATTCGTGATATATAACGAGTTTGAGTAATTAGTGATTGGCCCCTGAGTCTGTCAAGTTCGCACCAAGATGATTCCCAAACGACTCTTTTTAAAAACAGTTCCATCGCACATCACGGTTCAGAACTGTAGTCAAGCCTCAATTTTAGAGCATCAGTGTGAAAAGTTGTAGCAGATTCTCTTGCCTTTCGATGAGTAGGGTGACGTAGCCAGTCCGTTTTTTTTCCGTGTGTGGGCAGATAAATAATTTGTGCATCGTTCTGAAGAGTCACACAGTTGGAGAAATAAATGCCAGTGCTCCGTCAACTTTGTTAGCTGCAAGATTATGCTGAACGGAGTCACCAATTGCACCACCAAGTTTTGTTTCAGGATCTTTTGCAATGGTCGAATGAACGTCGTCGGCTTTCCCTAAAGGATTAAGCATTAAAACTATACCCATCATTAACTTCCACTCCTCTGAGTTCAGAGGTTCCACATGGCTCGTCCAATTTGCCACTTAAGATAGGTCCTTCCAAGGGTCAGAGAGCCGTTTGTGCCTGTATCCCCCCCATATCTTTCGTTATCTGCATTCAATTAAGGATGAAATTTGCTGCAAATCATTTGAAAGATCATACAAAAGTGAGTCTAGAATGAAGCCCTGCGGTGAGCCACTAAACAACGGACACAAATCGGATTTGACTGCCACCAATAGTTAAGGTGATCCCTAAACCAATTGGGTAACGTACCCCATAAACCCTAAAGGTTTTTATAGTTCATCATGGTTAACCGTGTCAAGGACCACAGATAAGTCAAGCGGCCTGACATGAACGGACATTTTCTGCTAAATAGAGCAAGATCGCTACTCTCAGCTGTCAGCTAAGTTGCTACATGGCTTGCCAGGTAAGAAGTCGTACTGAAAGCCACTGAGGAATGAGTTCGTCAGTGAAGAACCGGACACTGAATCTTACATTGCTGCTCCAATAATCGGCGAGACAAAAGGGATGTAAAGGAAAAATGATCTGAAAATCCCTCCCGATCACCCTTATTTGATTGTATTGACATTTATTTTAACATTTTTACCCTCGTTATGGATGGTGTACCTTTGACCCTCGCCGGTGTAATGTTATTTGCTTGTTTAACTGTCTTATTTGACTTTACACTCGGTATTTGCCTTTGTATGTTTGAGACTTATTATGAGTGTTTCACTTTCCTATTATGTGACGCTGGACTGTTGATAAGGTGATGTTGTTTTACTGCGCACGACATTTTGTTTTGGTTCAACTTACGGTTGTGCAGTGATTTGACTGTTTGTCTTTTGACTGTCTACTGGAAACGTTTGTTTGTTGATTTGATTCCTGTAGGCAGAGTTTTGATCCCTTTTGCCGGGAATATTCCTATTGACCGACAGGTATTTAACAGTTGTATTTTTTAACCAGTTTTTACCGTGTAGTACGTATTTGTACCCGAGAACGTTTTGGACTGTATAGTTACCCAACGGCACTGTTGAGGTATTTTTGTAATTTGACATAACTTATTGTTGCTTTGATAGTACCACAGATTTTGTTACGAATCTACTATTGAATTACTACAAACCGTGTTTTGATATTTCGATCCAACCTTTGACTGTGCGTCACTCGCGGAAGTTAGGAAGCTATACAGTAGAACGCAGGAACTAGTCAGATTCACGTCAGTTGGCACCGCCTAGCTATTTCCCGCGTTCAGGCCAAGATTATTGGATTCTGGCCGCTACAGTACTCAACAACCCGTCACTGCTGTACCTGGCAATCGCAAGGTGTTCCTTGAGTCAATTCCGGACGGGGAAGGTGACATGTCCATGGATCCGACCTCAGATACCAAGCAAGTCCCTCTTGATGTTATTTCATGCCGTGGCTCTGATAATGGTACAGTTATTGACTATAGTAAGACTAGTCCTTGTAGGACCTCTGCTCAGTTGAAGGTACGACAGTTGGATGAAAGGCAAGAGTTGGAACTTCGTGAATTCAAGGCTAAACAAAGACAGGAAAGGTTGCGTCTGCATAAAGAACTCAACTTAGATGTGAATGGGGGTTTAGGTGATACCTTTTCCTTGGATGATGATATAAAGTGTCACAAATCAGTTTGTCTTGGCATTGACCCTCATAGCAGTTCTGATCGTGAAACGACTAGCCAGGGGAGCAGCGCAGAAAACAAAGGGGTTGCCGCTACGTTGCCTTGTGTCAGTGTTGGCCATGAGTTGCCGAAAGTAGAATTAAGCAGCTTTGACGGACATCCAGCCAAATATTGGAAGTTTATGAGGCAGTTTGAGCTCTACGTTGTCTCTAAGGTTGATGATGATGGACAGAGGCTGTTATACTTGTTACATTACTGTAAAGGTAAGGCCAGGGAGGCTATAGAGGAATGCATTATGTTACCACCATCTGCTGGTTATCGTAGGGCTCGGGATATACTCAACGTTTGTTTGGAAGGACCCATGAAGTCAGCCGGGCCTTACTACAGGATCTGATGGAATGCTCGAACATAGAACAAAACGATGCTGAGGCAATGTCGAGGTTAGCTATAAAAATGGAAAACTGCGCTATAGCCCTAGAGCAAATGGACTATACTGCGGACCTTAACTCCTTGAGAACTTTAGAAGGTATAGTAAAGAAATTGCCCCGTGTGTTACAGATGAAATGGGCGGAGACTGTCGAAAAGCTAACTGAAACCGAACGAGAACCTACCTTCGCAGAGTTAACGCAGTTTGTGTCAGCACGTGCGAGCATTTTGCTAAGTAGGTTTGGACAGCTGGCAACAAGCAGTCGACGACCAGATAGTAAAATAGCATGTTCCACGCAGCAGCTAGTACCCGTTGGGGGAGTCCTGAAACCTTCATGTATATTTTGTGGAGGGAACCATGTAGTCACAAAATGTACCACATTTCTGTCGTTACCGGTGGATGAGAGATGGTCGAAGGCTAAAGAAACAGGTTGTTGTTTTTCATGTCTTAAAAGGGGCCACAGGTCCGTAGAATGTAAAATTCACAGGGTGTGCAGTGTAGAAGGTTGTAAAGCATACCATCACCCTCTGTTACACAAGAAGACCCACCACGCCGTAGGCGAACAACCGGAGAAAGGTAGTTGTGGATGCACCGAGTCTCTCAGAGAAAGCGTGTGTTTGGGCCTACTCCCGGTACGTGTAAAGCACGGTAATAAAGAGGTTTACGGTTATGCTATCTTGGACAATGGCTCTGATACAACTTTGATCACGAAAATGTTTTGCAACTTCTAGGATTGTCGACTGACGGCACAAAGACTATCATCAAAACTGTTAGTGGAAGTAGATTGGCGGACTCAGTCAGCAAGCCTTTCGAAGTTTATTCACTAGACGGAAACGAATGCATACTTATAGATCGAGCAGTTGTGGCAAGAGATCTCCCAGTACGGAGACCTAAAGGGTCGATGCGAGAAAGTATTAAAAGGTGGCCGCATCTGACTGACGTACCCTGGACAGAGGTGGAAGACGGGGAGGTATTGCTGCTCATCGGTTGCGATGTACCTGAGGCTCACTGGGTTCTAGATCAGAAGTTAGGGGGCAGAAAGAGCCCATATGCTGTGAGATCATTGTTGGGCTGGGTCGTGTTCGGTCCGACAAGCTTTCGTGAGCACAGGGAGAGGGTTGTGAATTGTATGTCTCGGTCAGATCTATTAGTCGATCAATGGAAGAAAATTTACGATTATGAGTTCAGCGATTTGTACTCGGGAGATAAGTCGTTATCTGTCGATGACCTAGCCGCTGTAAACATAGTGCAGCGAGGTACTTATTGGGATAATGGACATTTCGTTGTCCCCTTGCCCTGGAAAATGGAGTCCAAGAGAGTATACGGTGGATGCGAAGTAGCCAGGCGACGTTTGGAGAGTTTGAAACGCAGACTAATATCCTCTGAAAGCCTTCGCGAAAGCTACACTAGCGCCATGGAAGAGACCATCAGAAAGGGATATGCAGCAGTAGCTCCTGAGCCCCAGCTTAATCCTAGCTACCGCCCACGATGGTATTTGCCGCATCATGCCGTATTTAACCCCAAGAAACCGGGGAAGGTAAGAGTTGTGCTGGACTGCGCTGCCAAACTGTCCGGAACTTCTTTAAATGACTTCCTGTATCAGGGACCAGACACGACAGCGAACTTGGTTGGAATATTATTGCGTTTTCGCAAAGAACTGATTGCCCTGACGTCCGATGTGGAAGAAATGTTTATGCAGGTGAAAGTCCCAGAGTTTGACCGAGGTGCTCTGCGGTTCCTATGGTGGCCTCAGGGTGATTTCTCGAAGGAACCTATTGAATATCAAATGACGTCACACCCATTCGGTGCAGTGTCCTCACCGTTTTGTGCGTATTTTGCAATGGCCAAGACTGCCGAGACGTATGCCAACGATTATGATAGCTATGTGGTGGAAGCAGTGAAGCATAACTTTTATGTTGATGATTGCCTAGTGTCCTTTGCAAGCCCAGGTGAGGCAAAAACGTTCGTAAAACAGTCCACTGAGTTGTTGTTACGTGGTGGCTTTAAATTGAAGAAGTGGGTGACTAATTCAGAGGCAGTGAGAGTAGTTCTTCCTGGTCTGAGCCACACAGAGAACTCAGTCGACTTACGTGTTAGTCAAGGCTCAATCCACAGGGCCCTAGGTTTGGAATGGGACACCATGCATGATGTTTTTAAGTTCCGATTTGAACCCGTCGAAAAACCCTTCACGAAGAGAGGACTACTATCCACCGTCTCAGCTCTTTTTGACCCACTAGGCCTCATCGCCCCAGTTTGTCTTCCGGCCAAGCAGCTATTGCAGAATCTTTGCAAATCTCATGCTGGTTGGGATACACCCCTGAGTTCCAATGACCTATCCCTATGGATGGATTGGATGAGGTTCATGAAGAATCTTGGGCAAATCTCCGTACCCAGAAGTATCAAGAAGGAGGATAAGAGTGAGATGAGTAAGATTGAGTTGCACTTATTTTGCGATGCCTCTGAATCTGGTTATGGAGCGGTGGCTTATTCGTGGAACGTTCCAAAAAACACGCCACCCTACAGCATACTGCTTTATAGCAAATCCCGGGTTGCCCCTCTGAAAACGGTGACAGTGCCGAGATTAGAGTTAGCTGCGGCAGTATTGAGTGCACGAATGAGTGAAATTTTGAGGAAGAACCTCCCAAATAGCTTTGACAAGACTTATTTTTGGACAGATTCTATGATTGTTTTGTACTATATTAGAAATACAGAGAGTCGGTATAGTACGTTTGTGGCCAACCGTCTAGCCATTATTCACCAGTATTCATCCCCAAATCAGTGGGGGTACGTTAAATCTGAAGAGAATCCCGCAGATTGGACATCAAGAGGCATACGAAAAGCGTGTGAATTAGCGTCTTGGATTCAGGGCCCCTCTTTTCTGGGAACCCGACAGTTTTCAAGTACCACAGACCTCTGCTGGAAGGAACCACCGAAAAATGTCGAATTGAAGAGGTCGGTCCGAACAAACACAAACGTTACTGAGCTCACTGCTGATCCGATTTTGGCGTATCATTCGGACTGGGTGAGGCTGATTAAAGCTGTGGCATGGCTTAAGAGATATGTGGTCTACATATCCGTTATGTATTCGCGTCGCCAAGGTGTGTCACTGAATGTTGGCTATCTAACAGCCGATGAACTGGAAGCTGCTAGACATAAAGTATTATGTATGGTACAACAGGAGGTATATGGAGAATTAATAAAGGAACTCCGAGAAAAGGGTAGTTGTGAGACTGAAGAAGGTGAATTGCAAAGGTTGTCACCTATACTTGTGGATGGATTGGTCTGCGTCGGTGGGAGGTTGAACTATTCCGACTATCCACTTACTTTTAAGCATCCGGTTATCCTCCCCAGACATCACTTCGTGACTGAGCTGATCATAAGGCATTATCATATTATAGAAGGACATACTGGTACTTCGCAAGTCCTGGCCACTCTACGAAGAAACTATTGGATAATTAAGGGGATCAGTGCGGTCAAACGGGTGATAAGAAAGTGCATAGAGTGCCGACGATTGAAAGCTGCACTGGGTCAGCAGATGATGGCCCCTTTACCGGTCTGTCGCGTGCAGAAAGGATGGAAACAAGTTAATTACTTAGCTGACGTATTTTGGCGCCGATGGATGAAAGAGTATCTACCATGCTTGCAAACTCGTCAGAAGTGGTTGGGAAGGAAAAGAAATTTCAAGGAGGGAGATGTGGTGATTGTGGCCTCTGAAAAAACACCACGTGGTTCCTGGCCTTTGGGAGTGATCGAAACATGCGAGAAGGACGAAGACGATTTAGTAAGAACTGTGATGGTGCGTATGAAGGAAGGTACCGTGAGAAGAGATATAAGAAAGCTTTGTCTTCTTGAGGGAGTAGAAGAAAGATAGAGTATGCAGACAGCTAGGTAGATAGAGCCACGGCTGAATACACAGAGGTGTTTTGCGTGTCTGGAGGGATTTTGGTGGCCGGTGTAAAGGAAAAATGATCTGAAAATCCCTCCCGATCACCCTTATTTGATTGTATTGACATTTATTTTAACATTTTTACCCTCGTTATGGATGGTGTACCTTTGACCCTCGCCGGTGTAATGTTATTTGCTTGTTTAACTGTCTTATTTGACTTTACACTCGGTATTTGCCTTTGTATGTTTGAGACTTATTATGAGTGTTTCACTTTCCTATTATGTGACGCTGGACTGTTGATAAGGTGATGTTGTTTTACTGCGCACGACATTTTGTTTTGGTTCAACTTACGGTTGTGCAGTGATTTGACTGTTTGTCTTTTGACTGTCTACTGGAAACGTTTGTTTGTTGATTTGATTCCTGTAGGCAGAGTTTTGATCCCTTTTGCCGGGAATATTCCTATTGACCGACAGGTATTTAACAGTTGTATTTTTTAACCAGTTTTTACCGTGTAGTACGTATTTGTACCCGAGAACGTTTTGGACTGTATAGTTACCCAACGGCACTGTTGAGGTATTTTTGTAATTTGACATAACTTATTGTTGCTTTGATAGTACCACAGATTTTGTTACGAATCTACTATTGAATTACTACAAACCGTGTTTTGATATTTCGATCCAACCTTTGACTGTGCGTCACTCGCGGAAGTTAGGAAGCTATACAGTAGAACGCAGGAACTAGTCAGATTCACGTCAGTTGGCACCGCCTAGCTATTTCCCGCGTTCAGGCCAAGATTATTGGATTCTGGCCGCTACAAGGGACCAATAGATTCGTCTTTCTTTAGAGCTTACTTGACCTTCCCAAACAGTGATGACTGTCCTTAATATACAGTCAAACGACCATCTGCTTGCTTGAAATAAAAATATCGGGACGCGCTCCTGTTGAAAACAAAGGGCATCAGTATACTGTACGGGTGATTTTGGGTGAACATCAATTCTTAAGGATTCCCTCTCACTCAAGCCCCGCAAAATACACTCGGATATCAGCTGTTCGGATTCCCATTACTCAGCCCGCTGATCCTAGCATCTAATTGCTTTGATGTTTTAAGTGCCATTTGACAGCAATTAACTTTTCATTCCTGGACCAGTATGTTAGGTGCCCTGGAGTAAGTGTAGTGAACCTCTGAGTTTTGAAGGTTCTGTATGCCAAATAAAAAGCTGCTTTTCTTTTCGACCAGAAAGTAAGACGGCTGGCCATTCACACCTAATGTTCCACGCGGACACATACGTTTGTTGGTCCTCTGTTCTATCTAATTTTCCTTGCACGCCTCCTGTGGGTGTCCTTATACTGTGTTCAGTCGTTACTTTTTTGAGCTTGGGGCCGACGTTGCATGGACTTTTGGTTCATTGTCTTTCTCCGGATACAGTGAACCTTCTTCTTCCACGTGAGCAGATCACGTCAGCCTACCTTTAGGGGTATCAGCAACTAAAACCTAGTGGTCATTTCTCTGCAGTGCTAACCACCGTCTTGATCTGTGACATTTCCTTCCCATTTCACATTATCAAAATGATTCAACGAGAACAGCTCGAAAATAAACTTGTGTACACTAGTTTTTATGTGTACCGCTTAATATTGATCACAGGCTAATATTTCGTTTCAGATGTACAGTAAGTGGTTGTAGTCTTAGTAATAGTTTCACGCGTGAATGCTAAATCAACCAAGAGGACAAAATTCTTACACCACTTTCGTGATCCGATACCACTGGCAGACATGATTAAACAATGGTGTCATATGCCTGGCCAACTTCTCCACGACATAACTGTAATGCTTCCGTTCACAGCAGTACCTCTAAGGGTTCTAGCGCGTGGACCTGAAATGATCAGAACTAATCGGATGCAGTTTCTAGGAGTAGGTTTTGCGTTTGATGGATGGCAAACTTGTGCAACATTACTCTTTATCGCTAAATAAAAGGAATAAACTCATTAAAAACGCCTTTATACCCCGGTTATTTATATTTAAGGACGTACAAATAGCAACGCAGGGCTAATCGGGAACTGTTTCATGTCAACGATGTACAGTGGCTGGCAGTGGAACGCTCTTTTTGTCCCGTTTCAGACCCATCAGCTAGGTGTACCTGCCCTCTGGTAACGGGTTAATATAAGTGACAACACAATTGGAAGCAAACCGTTAAGTATACTGGCATCACTGAGCAGTGTATGAAGGAGGAGGCGCTGTTCTCTCTGGAGTAAAAACAGCAAACATGAAGGCTGGGTTATACCTGATTATTCGTAGGCCATCGGCAGATAATTTTCAGTCTCACATTCAAAATTTTAAATCCAAATACCTCTCGCATATATTATCCGAACACAGACGACCACAGACAATGTTAACTTTAGACTCTATCTGACTACAACCCGAGGAAAATCTACTAGCTGTCACTTATCGTTTTACTTCTCTGGGTGATACAACCGCTCGGTTGCCCTAAACGGTATCATTAGCATTGATGATGGTAATTATTTCTGAATATACCGGTACGCACCATTTTTACAGTTATGAGTAAGTTTTCATATAAACCACACGTCTTCGTGGAAGGTAATCTCAGTCCACACCCATTGTCACTAGAAGATATAAGTGCTGCATGTTCATATGTGAAGCATCCCAGCAGAATTAGTATGCAGAAAATTAAAAAGTTGAACAAGTGAAAGTATTTTCTTTGCATTAACAAAAAAATCCAGGTTTGCATCTTGACACTACGTGTAATACCTGGAGAAAGTAAAGCTTGAAGTTAATGCTTCCACTGCATCAGTCTGCACGTTTTTCTTGAGATAATGATGATAAGTTTGTGGGAATATATTCACAAACTGTTTACTTATTGCAGTTCATTTATACTCCCCGTCATTGTTTTTCAGTTGGTTTTCGTATGCACATTATCGTGAATTATTGGTCACTTTATCCCTCCAAAAATCCACTACTCGCAATGCCACATGCTTCTGTGATTAAGCCAGCTGGCCTTATATTATCTTCGGCGTTATTCATGTCAGTGTTGTAGTGAAGGGGTGTATGCACTGAACACTGCTTCCGAAATTTCCCCACCGTGTGATACGTATCTCTTTTGCGTGCCACCTGGAACAGTATTGCGCTGTACCTAAGAAACAAAACCTTTCACACTGGGTGTTTATATACTTATTAAGTTACACTACTGCTATTTAACGGTATTGCTCTAATCAAATATTTGTGACCAGCAATATCCAAACAATTGTCCACTCCGGAGGACCTTGTATTGCACGACGATTGGCTTTCCTCTAAACTTTTACGGCTTCAATAAGGGAATAACATTTAGGTGCTACCTGTAAAAATGGCATGTGCTCGTGTAATTCATTATCCGAAAGATATTATAATTAATAACTGCAGGAGTGGGATTCGAAGGGTCTTCGGTGGCCACGATTGATGGAGGCAGAAACTGGCTGTGCATAATAAACTCGGCTAAAGTCGAAGTAGAATTCGGCTTACGCATCTTGGTGTTTGCTCATTCACCAGGTCACTTGGGACTTCATGTCTTGTTTGAAGATGAACCCTTAAAACGATAACCCGACAACTGGGAGTAGGTGGACTGAAATGCTATCTGACGCCTCAAATTGGTAGGCCACTGAAGACCGTCACTCAAGTCCATCTTCGGAAACATATAGTCACTTTGGTCTTAAGCTGTCATGCATTGACCATTGGTGCCAAATATACTCCTTGTGTTATTCGCCTCGTTTTAGGGCCCAATAACCCCCGCACAGGATTCATTCATAAAGTTTATGTTCAGTTTTTGGGCTTAATACCTGTTGGTTCTCACACTAACACTTTTTAACTCGATTTTTGTAAAGCTTCGTTGAGATGTTCAAAGAGGCCAATCGTTCACGGAGAAAACCATTGTTATTGATTATATGGGTGTTGACAACCGAATTTCCATGCCAACCCTGCCTCCCTGGTAACGTTTGTTAGCACATTTGATTTCGTAGTACTTGAAACCATCAGTTTCGAAAACCCTTTTCGAAAGCTTCTGACCAAGCATGAGTGACTTACTGTCGTTTTGTGATAACATATATCAATATAGAAGTTGAGTGACCCTCTTTACGGTGGTTTAACGGGCACATCTGACCGCATCCATACTGTTGCAACGTAGCCTCTTATCTCCTTGGACTCCTGTGGTTATTGTCGAACAATTTCCGAGCCTTATTTGCCAGATCACCAATCAGCAAAACCTCAGTCAGCCTCAAAAGAGGCCTAGGGGAACAATTTTGTCATTGTCATTGACTGCCAGGCAAACTGTGGCAACATCTTTTGCATCTACTAATTCACAGTGTCTCAACCATCACGTAAAGGGCTTCACGTCCCAAAGTTCTTCAGCAAAAAGAAATTTAGGCGGCAAAAAGGAATCTTTGTATCTGATTATCATTCCACTGAGTGCAAGATTGGTCACACTCCATTCTGGTAATGTCTTCCTCCCTTAAATCCCCCATCTTTATTTGTAATGTTATGCTGCGCTGTCTTGAGATCTGGTCTGAACATCACTTCTAGACACTTCCGGGCCAGTCCTAAGGGCGTCCGAGAATTTAAACTAGTTGCAAAAACTCATGCAATAAGTCCCAGACGCGGAATCATTCTTACTCCAGAAATGCCGCCTTCGTTTGGGAAATAGTGGCGCAGAGTAAAGTGCTTAAACCTTTCTCTTATAAAACACGGACTGCACGCTCGTAAAAGGACATTCTGGAACAACTGTTCGTTCTCCAAGTCATATGTGCCAAAAGTGTTACAGTCTTGGTTAAGGCACCTATCAAACACTTCAAAGTGCGGCTGGTCAGTTCAGGGTTGTCAAATGGATTCTGTCCCTGGGACTGTCAAAGCAGGCAAACCTTATTGTGATCATCTACCAGTAATGACAAACGATTAACCGATCCCACTCTACGTGGAATCCTCAAAGGGCTCATCGCTGACCGTTCAGATCGTTGAAACCATTTTCGAGCAACCGTCCTGGATACGCCGAAAAACCATAATTGCTGGAAAACAAGGCACTCCTGATTGTACGAATGGGTAAATCAGTGGATAAAATAGACTTTACCTAGGGAAAATGTTCAACTCCTAGCTGGCTCTTTTTGACCAGACTACGGTGACAGAAGATTAGACTTCGAGGCAGTTCTACCGGGTAATGGGACAGTGACCGATTAAGCGTGGATGTGTACTCCAACACTGGGGGACTACAGTCAACCACCTACGCCGTAGTAGGCTTTTCTGTTTATACATATTTATTTCGAACATGGTCACATTTGGGCGCCGGAGACGTACCCAGTAGGCTAATTATGTGCCATCCAATGGATCGTAAGCCTCTTGTAGGAGGTTAGCAGTGAAATCAGCCCCATCCTGCTTACCAAGGGAACCTTTAGGGGTTCGCTTCCTCTCAGAATTCCACATTTTATCAAGCCGTCAAAGCAGTTGCCCTTGATGCATGGTGGCTGTGTATCCACGAGTGGGGTCTAAACTCCGGGCTTTTTATGAATATAAGCAGTATCCTAATATTTATAATCTGGAATGATACAACACTTCATTATTTTCTCCAAGTCCTGTCCATTCAAGGAGATAGGTCGTATGCTCTTTCCCGGCTTATTGGTTGG